AGGTTGTCAGCCTGCCGCCTACAATTGCAATATACAAGAAGTAACAGAAAGGGTATAACATGCCGAAAGGAGGTCAAGGTACTCATGAAACTGAACAACTTTCCCCAAGGAACATGGGCCGAAATATGAAAAAAAAAATTGGATCTCCCATTCAAAATCGCCGATGAGCTAATTGATTTACTATGGGAGGTCCAAATTTTTTTTTCATGGGGAAGTTGTTCAGTTTCATGAGTACCTTGACCTCCTTTCGGCTTGTTCCGTTTCCGTTACTCCCGGTATATCATCAAATCCCTTAGTCGGTTCATACGACACCCACGGAAAAGATATGGGGTGATGCTATTCTTCTATTCTTCTTCCGTCCAAAAGGGCACACGGCAAAGTTTCGGACCCCCGGAAAGAGTCAAACAATCTGTTGGATGGCTACTTATGTTCTCTCTTCGTAAGGGACACCGAGTCGTTCAGCGACCCGATAAACCCTCCTAGTGTCAGAGTTTTTCAACCGCCTACTGCAAGTAGCAGGCCCCTGACATGGTTGTGTAACGACCGCCATCATAGACAGCAACCGGGACCGACGGCTTAACGTGCCCATCCGAAGCACGGAACCATCTTGCTTTTCGGTCAATCAGGTGGTTCAGCCTGCAATGTCCTAACAAGACCGGGAACAAATTCACAAAGAAATAAATTATCTACTTTGTGAGTGACCCCACCGGGAATTGAACCCAGAACCTTCTGCATGGCAGGCAGTCATACTAACCACTGCGCCACAACGGCTGCCCAGCTACTTATGTGAGATAACGGATATAGAAATTCGCCCTCTGACGGATAACGTAACGGATATAGAAAATCTGGTAATTGGTAGCCTATCATCATCAAATAAGGAAGCGGATAATAAGAACAAATCACCAGTAATTAGTTTCGTGTACTTACCACACAACTTAATACTCAATACTCAAGATATGCTCTCTATTAATAGTTATTAAAATAGCTACAAAACATCTAAAATAATGTGTGTAGGTAGAGGAGTTAACTCTTCATAGTTTTTCGTAAGCAAGCACGGACAATCTGTTTTTCCCTACGCACTAGAGTATTGTATTTCCCTTCCACTACATACCTACTCATCATCATCTTTCTGCCCTTATCCTAATTACTTGGGGTCGGCGCAACATGTTATGTTTGAAAACAAAATCATGTTGCAATAGGATTTGGAATGGGTAATTTTACGGCCAGCCGCCTGCCTGACGTTAACATTCTTTGGGAATGCTATAGCAGGTGGTATTACCGCCACCTTACGGTTGACCATGGTCGGCAGATATGGTAGTCAAGGTCAAAAACTCTACGTCGCCATTTTCGAAACACCCTGAGTAGAATAGGGGTGGCAGAATTCTTAGCCGCTACCACACGGTCACTACATACCTACTCATCATCTTCCTGCCCTTATCCCAGTTACTTGGGGTCGGCGCAACACGTTTCGTTGAACACAAAATCGTGTTGCAAAAGGATTTGGCTGAATTTTACGTCCGGCCGCCTGCCTGACGTTAACCCTCCTTGGGAATGGTTTTGTGGTGGATTAACCGCCACCATACGGTTGGCCCTGGCTGTTTGGGTCGGGTTTATCCCTCGGTCGCCTCTTACGACCCCCACGGGAAGAGAGGGGGTGGTGCTATTCTACTCTGCCGGCACCACACGGCATTCTGCCGGCACCACACGGCGACTACATACGAATACCGCATATTATCTTTCTGTGCCGCTACTGGCAATATTGTCTAATCACTTTACTTAGCCCTAACTAGAGTACCAAACTTCCTAATAGCAAAACTGTGCACTACCAAAGCGGCAACTTTCCTGGATCCAATCTAATCACGATAAGATTGGGCCACGCAACCTATATGGCAGTTATAGGAGTTTTGTTTTTGGCCTATCCTATGTTCCTTGGGGAAGTTGTTCAGTTTCATGAGATCCTTTTTTTGGATTCCATTTTCAAAATACGTTGTTAATAAAGACTAAAGAGGTAAGTCCTCGAGTCCAAACTTCTTCAAAACTGTGCACTCACTACGGTAACTTACCCGGGTAGAATCTAATCAAGCTAAAATAAGACCAGTCACGTAGCTGCCTCCGTGGTCTATTGGCGTGAGCATGGTCTCAGGATATGGACGTCCCTGGTTTGAATCTTGTTGTTCTCTTTTACGAGGTTGATATTCGTAATAGCAAAACTGTGCACTCTATACTACGGTAACTTCCCCGGGTAGAATCTAATCAAGCTAAGATAAGACCAGTCACGTAGCTGCCTCTGTGGTCTAGTGGTGTGAGCATGGTCTGAGGATATGGACGTCTCTGGTTCAAATCTTGTTGTTCTCTCACGAGGTTGATATTCGTAAAAGCAAAACTATGCACTCTATAGGTATAGGTACTACGGTAACTTTCCCGGGTAGAATCTAATCAAGCTAACATAAGACCAGTCACGTAGCTGCCTCCGTGGTCTAGTGGTGTGAGCATAGTCTCAGGATATGGACGTCCCTGGTTCGAATCTTGTTGTTCTCTCTCACGAGGTTGATATTCGTAATAGCAAAACTGTGCACTCTATACTACGGTTACTTCCCCGGGTAGAATCTAATCAAGCTAAGATAAGACCAGTCACGTAGCTGCCTCCGTGGTCTAGTGGTGTGAGCATGGTCCATCGAATCTTTTTGTTCTCTTTTACGAGGTTGATATTTGTAATAGCAAAACTATGCACTTTATAGGTAAGCGGCTAACAACATGATTTTGTATTTAAACAAAACGTGTTGCGCCGACCCCAAGTAACTAACTAACTAACAAGGTACTACGGTAACTTCCCCGGGTAGAATCTAATCAAGCTAAGATAAGAGTCACGTAGCTGCATCCGTGGTCTAGTGGTGCGAGCCTGGTCTCAGGATATGGAGGCTCCTGGTTCGAATCTTGTTGTTCTCTCACGAGGTTGATATTCGTAATAGCAAAACTGTGCACTCTATACTACGGTAACTTTCCCGGGTAGAATCTAATCAAGCTAAGATAAGAGCTAGTCACGTAGCTGCATCCATGGTCTAGTGGTGTGAGCATGGTGTCAGGATATGGAAGTCCCTGGTTCGAATCTATTTGTTCTCTTTTACAAGGTTGATATTCGTAATAGCAAAACTGTGCACTCTATACCACGGTAACTTTCCCGGGTAGAATCTAATCAAGCTAAGATACGATCGAGTCACGTAGCCGGCTCCGTGGTCTATTGGTGTGAGCATGGTCTCAGGATCTGGAAGGTCCAGGTTCGAATCTTGCTGGTCTCTCTCACGAAGTTGATATCTCTACCACTTTGTGAGATTGTTCAGATCCAATTTCAGTCTAAATATTCAAGACATTTTAGGTTGAATCGGTTCAATTTCTTTCATAATCCGTAAGAAAGTTGGTTCCATACTTCGAAAGGCACGATGCCACGACCCCAATTCATTTGGGATAAGGGCTGGAAGATGATGTGCACCAATGCTAAGTAGGAAGCGTTTCTGTTGAAAACTCTGCCATCAGAGTTCATCGGGACATTTGCCTACTCGGTGTCCCATGAGACAGAAAAAGGTTTCAATCTAATCAAGATGAGATAACTCTGCCATCAGAGTTTATCGGGTAATTTTGCTACTCGGTGTCCCATAGACAGAAATAGGTTTCAATCTAATCAAGCCAAGCTAGATGCAAACCGTCAAACGGATAGTAGTAGGGTGCTATTGACTTAATACAGCACGGGATTAGCATTTTAAAGAGAGGTGTGCTGTACCAACCTGTGATGCCGGCTTAGAATAGCATCACCCTATTTCATTCCTGTGAGTGTCGTAAGAAGCGACTAAGGGACTCGAGGGTTTTATGTGGGTTGCAATTTTAGGTGACATGCTGACAACCTGTCACTCTAATCAAGCTGAGATAAGATAAGCCGGGTGCAAACCGTCAAACGGATAGTAGTAGGGTGCTATTGACTTAATACAGCACGGGATTAGCATTTTAAAGAGAGGTGTGCCAACGTGTGATGCCGGCTTAGAATAGCATCACCCTATTTCTCATTATCTCTAGCTCATTTTGATTCCACTCATAATGTGGACTAACCATGTAGTAAAATTCTAAATACTTTCTACTGATGTCGCTGGATCGTCGCTTCGAGACGAGCATCAAGAGGTTGAGAAATTCATCAGGGTCCGCTAGGCGCCCGTAGCTCAGTTGGATGAGCGGTGGAACAGTAATCTACGACGCCGGGACTTGAACCCGGGACTCTGGATCACCGGTTACCAACTGAGCGGTGGAACGGTGATCCACAGTCCCGGCGGTCCTTACTGAATTTTACAATTTTCTCATTTTCAATTTACGGGATTAGCATTAAAGAGAGGTGTGCTAACGAAGAGTTTCTGTTGAAAACTCTGCCACCAGAGTTCGGGTCATTTGCCTACTCGGTGTCTCATAGACAGAAATAGGTTACAATCTAATCAAGCTGAGATAACTCTGCCATCAGAGTTCATCGGGTCATTTGCCTACTCGGTGTCCCATAGACAGAAATAGGTTACAATCTAATCAAGCTGAGATAACTCTGCCATCAGAGTTCATCGGGTCATTTGCCTACTCGGTGTCTCATAGACAGAAATAGGTTACAATCTAATCAAGCTGAGATAACTCTGCCATCAGAGTTCATCGGGTCATTTTGCTACTCGGTGTCCTATAGACAGAAATAGGTTTCAATCTAATCAAGATAAGCCGGCTGCAAACCGTCAAACGGATAGTAGTAGGGTGCTATTGACTTAATTCAGCAGATTAGCATTTTAAAGAGAGGTGTACCAACGTGTGATGCTGGCTTAGAATAGCATCACCCCATTTCTCATTATCTCTAGCTCATTTTGATTCCACTCATAATGTGGACTAATCATGAAGTTAAGTTCTAAATACTTTCTACTGATGTCGCTGGATCGTCGCTTCGAGACGAGCATCAAGAGGTTGAGAAATTCACCAGGGACCGCTAGGCGCCCCTAGCTCAGTTGGTAGAGCGGTGGAACGGTGATCTACAGTCCCGGGTTGAAGTCCCGGCGGTCGCTAGAGAATTTTTCAATTTTCTCGTTTTGTATATAAGGGATTAGCATTTAAAGACAGGTGTGTCAACGCTAAGAAGAGTTTCTGTTGAAAACTCTGCCATTAGAGTTCGGGTCATTTGCCTACTCGGTGTCCCATAGACAGAAACAGGTCACAATCTAATCGGGCCAAGCTAAGATAAGCCAGCTGCAAACCGTCAAACGGATAGTAGTAGGATGCTATTGACTTAATACAGCACGGGATTAGCATTTTAAAGAGAGGTGTGCCAACGTGTGATGCCGGCTTAGAATAGCATCACCCCATTTCATTCCAGTGGGTGTCGTAAGAAGCGACTAAGGGATTCGGGGATTTCATGTGTATTGCAATTTTAGGCGACAGGCTGACAACCTGTCGCTATAGTGATACTACCTTCTAAAACAATAAAAAAATTAAATTGAAAATGATAACAAATTCATTTTCAATTGAATAAAATATTCATAAATTTTCTCTAATAAAAATAGTTGTCCTCAGCTATTTGTCAGACGTGGCGATAACGACCGTATTTTTACGGCCGTTGACGCTTTGCCTACCCTGCAAGGGATAAAGGCGTGATTTATGTATGTATGTGTATGTGTATCAACGCTAGGCAGAGTTTCTGTTGAAAACTCTGCCACCAGAGTTCATCGGGGCATTTGCCTACTCGGTGTCCCATAGACAGAAATAGGTTTCAATCTAATCAAGCTGAGATAACTCTGCCATCAGAGTTTATCAGGTCATTCGCCTACTCAGTGCCGTACAAGAAAGAATTAGGTTTCAATCTAATCAAGTCAAGCTAAGATAAGCCAGCTGCAAACCGTCAAACGGATAGTAGTAGGGTGCTATTGACTTAATACAGCACGGGATTAGCATTTTAAAGAGAGGTGTACCAACGTGAGATGCCGGCTTAGAATAGCATCACCCCATTTTATGCCTGTGGGTGTCGTAAAAAGCGACCGGACTCGAAGGTTTCATGTGTATGGCAATTTTAGGCGACATGCTGACAAACTGTCACTATAGTGATACACGAAATTTACTAAAACTGACCTCAACTATTTGTCAGACGTGGCGATAACGACCGTATTTTTACGGACGTTGACGCTTTGCCTACCTCGTAAGGGATAAAAGCATGATTTTTGTATGTATGTACCAACGCTAGGAAGAGTTTCTGTTAAAACTCTGTCACCAGAGTTCAACGGGTCATTCGCCTACTCGGTACCCCATGAGACAGAAATAGGTTTCCATCTAATCAAGTCAAACTAAGATAAGCCGACTGCAAACCGTCAAACGGATAGTAGTAGGGTGCTATTGACTTAATACAGCACGGGATTAGCATTTTAAAGAGAGGTGTGCCAAGGCTATGAAGAGTTTCTAGGGGAAGGTAAAATGTAGACTTTATCGTACGTTGCGTGCTTGCAAAAATGTCTCTTTAGACGCGACCGCCGATAAGTTGTAGCAAAACGCAAAAGGTGTTCTTCTTCTTTTCGAGTGGGATACCGAGTCGTCCAACGACCCGATGAACCCTGGTATCAGAGCTATTCATGCGCCTACTGCAAGTAGCAGGCCTCTGACTTGGTTGTGCAACGAAGCAACCGGAACCCACGGTTTGATATGCTCTTCGAAGCACATTTCTTTTCGGACAATCATATGGTTCAGTCGGCGATAACGCCAGGCAATAAATTTGTTGCCAAGGTTTGTTAAAATGTAATACAGCATACGAAACAATGGCTGTAGCTAAAACTTTCTGTGTAACGCAGCAATGTATGCTCACTTAGTTCTATTCCCTTACTATAGTCGTCTTTATAATAGTAGCGATCTACAGCTACTGTATGCGTTTTATGCATATCAAACTGGAATGGCTGATTGAATCCAGGGTATTAAGGTGAAAGGGTCGGGTTTGTCGCATAAACTGTGAATTTAAAAGCCTATTAAAGAGGTCTATTCTTCGATACTTGTATTGTTAAAAGGGGGAAGGCTTTTGTTACCGGTAAATCAAAAACTACTAGATCTACTACAACCACAACCGACCACTGCAGGACATGGGCCTCCCAAATCGGGGAAGTACTTCCATACTCGCCTCGCTTGGGAGGCGGATTGGCGAGTGAAGTGCAAGGTGTTGAAGATATTCACAGGGAATGCTGCTGCCCATTCCGTCGATCAATCCTTAAGTCGAGACTGATGGGATGATGCTATTCTAAGCTGGTACTACACGGCGTAAAGTAGCTTCTAGATCTACTTTAAATCTAACTTTTGTAAGCTACATTCATAAGTAACTTTTAGTCGCAGGACTACATATATTTTTTTGGGGATAAAGGTCGTTAGAAAAGTTGTCTCTTATTACGGGAAAACAAGTAGCAGCAGCAAAACCGCTGGATTGAAAGTTAGTAGCTAATAAATAACCATAACAAGCGCAAGAATACTTTTATGAAATAAGGTCAATCCGTAACCCATATTGGACTGGCAACAACGCAAAACCAATAATGTATCCTATTGTTTTAAGGAACAAAAGTTTCATCAGACCGCGATGGAAAAAGAATAAATACAGAACTGGAGATTACATATTCTGTGACTGGAGGCAAACAAAATAACAAAGAAGACTTTATGTTGTACGATAATAGGAAAAAAATCAAGACTTTACGTCGTACGATAGTAGGAAAAAAATCAAGTTCCTATCCTTCTTATGTCACGTCAAGTCGCGTGGCACACCCAGTCTTCGAAGGACCCTACTACCTATTAGAGATTTGAAACTAAGGTAGGTACTGATATTGATAAGGAAATAAGGACGAAGATTGCGCAAAAAAGTACCGAGTAAGTAAAATTTTATAAACCTTTAATCCAAGCAGTGATTGCCATACGTTACAAGATAATGATGAGTTAAATTTTATAATGAACAGAGTAATGTCTCCGTTCATTATAAAATTTAACTCATTAGCCAGGGTTTGAATAATATGTTCGTTTCATTCGGATTCAGTCGGTCCAGCATTACTTTAGACATATGAATATGATCGGTAGGAAAAAAATCAAGTTCCTATCCTTCTTATGTCACGTCAAGTCGCGTGGCACACCCAGTCTTCGAAGGACCCTACTACCTATTAGAGATTTGAAACTAAGGTAGGTACTGATATTGATAAGGAAATAAGGACGAAGATTGCGCAAAAAAGTACCGAGTAAGTAAAATTTTATAAACCTTTAATCCAAGCAGTGATTGCCATACGTTACAAGATATGATGAGTTAAATTTATAATGAACAGAGTAATGTCTCCGTTCATTATAAAATTTAACTCATTAGCCAGGGTTTGAATAATATGTTCGTTTCATTCGGATTCAGTCGGTCCAGCATTACTTTAGACATATGAATATGATCGGTAGGAAAAAATCAAGTTCCTATCCTTCTTATGTCACGTCAAGTCGTGGCACACCCAGTCTTCGAAGGACCCTACTACCTATTAGAGATTTGAAACTAAGGTAGGTACTGATATTGATAAGGAAATAAGGACGAAGATTGCGCAAAAAAGTACCGAGTAAGTAAAATTTTATAAACCTTTAATCCAAGCAGTGATTGCCATACGTTACAAGATAATGATGAGTTAAATTTTATAATGAACAGAGTAATGTCTCCGTTCATTATAAAATTTAACTCATTAGCCAGGGTTTGAATAATATGTTCGTTTCATTCGGATTCAGTCGGTCCAGCATTACTTTAGACATATGAATATGATCGGAATTCATAAAATAATATCCATGCTTGTATTACCAGTACCTACATCCTAATCGGTCCAGTACTTTCAGATATTATCAAAAGCTTTCCTCCTTAAAATTAAAATGTAGAGTTTATGCAATTTTACCATCCATTATCATCTTCCTGCTTTTTTATCCCAAACCAGTTGGGGTCGGCACAACATGACACATGTCGGCACATTTTATTAGAACACAGAATAATTAGCAAAAGGATTTGGCTTTATTTATGACCGGCCGCCTACCTGACGTTAACCCTCTTTGGGAATTCAACCCTCTTTGGCAATTTTACCATCCAATTTTATATTTACAAGAGCATTCTGAACTCTCGGAGTATTACAAATGAACAACACAAAAACACAACACTATGTTACCGCAATTTAGGACAGGACTGTAAGATAGACGTTTATGTAAGGAATAGTTTGTCGAATCGGGGCAAGTGTTGCGACGAGGGTCCCAGTGTTGCCAATATTACTAAGAAAATTTGATAAAAAATTGTGATTTTGGTTTCAGTGCAGAATAAATAACTATGGTACGGGCGTTCGAATAGGCCATATTTGACAGCAGTCAAACCCATACTACAAGATAATTCAACAAAGAAAAATTTATCTCATGCCATAGCATTAACATGATTTTGACAGTTGTCAAATATGACCTATTTGGACTACTGTAGGTACTGTAGACAGGTGAACAGTAATAGAGATACTGGAATTGTGAACTGCTGTGAATTTTAATCTTAAAATTAAAACTGTTAATCTCCCAAATTAAATTAAATAAACTTGGTTTTCTAATAAGAAGCACGCATTGGACGGTTTATACCTAAGGCTCTTATCACACAAGCGGTTTGAGAGCGGATGCGGAGCGGAGGTGGAAGCGCAGTGAATTCGTACAGACGATTTCGTTGCGGACGCGCGAATATCGCCGGTATCCGTCGCGCGTCCACAATAAATTCACTACTCATCCGCCATTTTACGATACTAGCGGGTAAAAACAAGGCGATACTATTCTTAGAGGTATGATTTTCCGAATTTGGCAAAATAAGAGCTGGCAACACCCAGAGCAGAGTTCGTTGTGCTTATATGCAAATGCCATTTTGAATATTACGCCAGCAAGCGGCACCGCTCCATGTAGTATACTCGACAATCTGTTGTCACTAACTATGTACACAATTTGGCGAAAAGCGGGAACATTTTTTTAAGAAAATGTCTCGTGTGATATGGTAATCCCACCCAAAACATAAATGTGAAAGGCTGCC